GGTAGTAGGTGATGGAGAGTCCTGGACTTGGACCACGGGAATATTTATCGAAGAGAAAGAAATCGAGAATGTAAATCGAAAAGTTCATAATATAATGAAATGAAAAAGTGACAATGGATGAAAAGTATAAATACCAGGGGAGGTAGAGCGAGGAGTGCCGAGGAAGGAGGAAGAGCCTCGTATAGCCTCGAGCCGCTGAAAATTGAAAACGAATGTCAGAAAAAGGAAGTGCATAATTCAAGTAAACCTACATATAAAAAGCTTGTACCTCAGGAATTGGGACTGATGATTGGAGTTGGGAATCAATATTAGTCGATACAGTCGTCGACGGATGGTCCTAAAAAAAAATATATATATATCAAAAATTGAAATCAGGTAACGAGTCCTATCGAAATCCAGGAATATAAAATGATGCAAAGAAAGCACTTACGTGACTGGAATGAGTTGTAGGGGTAATTTGACCCACTTCAGTAATTATATTGGAGTCCGTCGACAATGGATCAATGACAGGTGGTTGAATAGATCGGGGACTCTTCGACTTTTGTTTCGAAATTAGAAATCGAAAGCAGGAGAAATATGTTAAGACCCGAATGAGGTGACTAGAAACAAAAGGTCAAAATAAACAGGAATCGAAAAGAACCTTCGATTTTTTAGAAGAAGAAGAAATGGTGGCCGAGCGTTTGCGCTTTCTAACAAGTGGTCGAAGGATCGATTCATCGAAGATTCACAGTCCTTCTCCTTCTCTTGACCCTTCTCGACAGCGGTGACCTTGGTGGATTTCGAAACTGCCAATAAAAGAAGACAGATTAGCTTATAATATACATAATCAAAAAAGTATAGGAAAGCAGTAAAATCTCACCAAAAGGTGATGGAGTCAAAATCTTGACTCGGTCGATATGTACAAGCCAGGGAGGCAAAAGAGCCTCGGGGAGGTTAAGGTAAGGGAAATAAGATAATTTCGAGACAGAAATATCTTTGTGTTTTGGGTTTTGGGCGAAGTGTTTCCCTTAGGGATCTCAATTCTCGAACCCATTTAGGATGAGTTAATGGTTTGGCAAGTCCAAAAAGAGCTGTGGGAAAAGTGGGAAGGCGATTTGGGCAATACATTTCAAAAGGGGTTCTACCTAAAGGATTGATTATTTTGTGGTTCGATCGATTAACGTCTGTTTTATTGGATAAGGAGATAACAACATCATAATAGGTCGATTCTAATTTCAGTGGGGTGTAACATATTTGATAAAAGTTCTCGAATCGAGATATTTGAAGACAGTGGAAGTGTGTACCTTTCTTCGATTTCGACTTGTCCTGCAACACAAGAGAAGGATGAGCAGTCAGTTTCTGTCGAACTTCATCAAAAGTAGCATGACTACTCGAGAACCAACCAGTCCACCATTGAGAAAAACCCACAGTAGACAAATAATTTGACTCGAAAGCATAGGGATAAAAATGCATCGGGGTTTTTGGCAAAAGCTTGATAAGCTCCCGTTCGATTATCGATTCGTTCAACTTGAACCTCGGGGAGGTATCTAAAGGAAAGAAAGGTAAGGATTGACTCAGGCCGAATTGTCTCGAGAATAGCTGAGGGTAGTAAGTGATAATCTTGAAGTCTTTGGATTGAAAACTCGATACCAGCATATCATGAGTTAAATAGTTACTCCAGATATCTACCAACTCTAATTGCAATCCAGGAGTTGAGGCAGAGAACTTCGACGTAAACCAAATTGGTCCCCTGAGTTGATCATTCATTCGTCCGAGATGCACGGTAAAAGGAGCTAAAGCCGAATCGAAATTAAATCTAGATAACAAAAAATTAAGGTATTGACAATAAGCAGCTTCATTGGGTTTTTGGTAAGGATGGCAAAAAGATAATCGGGCCCCTTCTATATTTACACTTGGGGGGATGCTGGAAATCGGGGGGAGGATGCTCTCAAAAATCGAGTTTAACCTTAACTGAATAAACCAGATAGGACCAAAAAAGTTTCCCGATGCCTTAGGAGTACTCAAAATTTCGACAGCTTCGTCGAAAGCAGTATACACATGCGCTAACAAGAGTTTAGCCAAACATATCCTAGGCTGGCCAGTATGGAGAAGATAGGCTAGATTATAGAGGTGTGAGGAGATTTGGATGGATCGAGGACAAAAAACGTGGGTACATAGCCAATATACCAAAAAGGCTATGTGTTCTTCATTAGTCACAGCCTTCAATTCGTCATCGACAAAATGCTTCTCAAGAAAATGTCCGTAAGCCTTCGATTCCCAATCGATTTTAGATCTCAAAGAATTATCTCGAAGGGTAAACACCCTTATAATACTTTTCCCAGTAGGTTTTAATCCAGCTTATAGCAACGAACTTCAAAGAGAGTAGGTGACAGGGGACCACGAGGCAATTCCAAGGCATGCAAATCTTTGTTCCACAAATGCACAGCAGATAGAAACATTGCCATATCCAGAGACGACAAATCGCACCGAGATAGCTGTAAAAAATAAAAAATCCCTATATCTCTCCAGTGGTTCCCAAACTTAGTTTGTATTCTATCAAACCACCTAAGGAATGAAGGTTTTTTGGAAGGTGGACCCGTTCGGTATACTCTCGATGCCATATTCAAGAAATCCGTCCGAACCTCAGGGTGGTGAATAAGTGCTGGGCTGTTCGAGAGGGTGAAGGAAGAAAAAGTCCCACTACTAGAACGGACAGGACCCCCAAAACCAAAATTAACACTATTAGCAGTGTAAGGGATGAGTACCTGCGTCTCAGCGATTTTCTGAGAAGCCTCCTCCATCAGAGGAATTGGAGCAAACTTCTAGTTATTGATCTCCAGAAGGGGAGCTGTCAACGAGGGAAGAGGCGGAACAGAAAAGTCAGAAGATTTGGATGAAGTGGCCATTTCAGTAATGGGTAGGGTGAAGAAAAGCAACGGGAGAGATGAAGGCGCAGAGATGAAGACAAGAGCTCAAGGAAGACGAAGTTGCAAAGAGGTAAAAGTTCGCGTAAAAAACTAGAGTAAAAAACCAATAGAAAGTTTAAAGGGAAAATTGTCTAGGGAGCTGGGAACGGCGGAGGTGAAAGGTAATTAATGTAACGTGTACAGTAAGACAGCAGACTGACGCGACGGCGACATAAAGCAAAAGGAAAATTGAAAACCCTGTAAACCCTAGAACCCCAAAAAATCCTAAACCCTAAGTTTTGTGGGCCTCTAACAAGCAAAGGTGGGAATCACGTTGAAAGAATATAAACAGAAACTATTGATATTCTTCCAAGGGGGCATTTTGTTAGTAGGAAATCGAGAAAAGCGATCGAAAAATGAAGGAAAGAAAAATCGAGAAACACGTGACTGATCGGTAAAACGAAAAGGTAGATGAGGAACCATTCGATGTCCAATTAGAATGGCATGGCACATAAAATCGAAAGTTAGAGTTGGAATCGGAGAAGTAATAGTCAAAAGTTTATTGTGGAACAAACCGAGAAATTAGAAGTATATGATGCTAAGATAAAAAGGAATCGAAAGTAAATCCGAAGTTCTCGATAAAATCGAAGTCCAAATCGAAAGAAAGGTTAACCCGCGTAAAATCGAAATCGTGGCCAGATCATAAAGAGGAGTTAAACACGCATATAGGAAACAGTTTCTAAATCGTGGCAGAAGTTGAAGATCATGGGAACGTGGGTGCAGTTTTGACACCACAGAAGAAGAAACTGCAACGCGCACGAAGAACGTGGTAGCAGCTTTTGTTAACTCGCTCCTGGAAGGGTTGAATGATGCTCTATAAATAGTGCAAAGGAGGAAGGAACGGGGAGCAGAAATTGGCGAGAGGACGTAATCGATAGTGAAAAAGTCTACCGAGAAACGACGAACACCATGAAACTTCGGCAATCTGGATTTCCTCGCTCACCGAGTACATTTACCGCTTTCGTATTTTCCTTGGTAATTTATTTTGATGCAACTTAAATTCAGCAGTTTTATATTTCGTATTTTCGATTCCTAGTCATTTCAATTCAATGAAAGTTTAAGCTCTTGCAATCTCGATTTCCTGTCATTTACTTTTCTTGCAATCTCGATTTCCTGTCATTTACTTTTCTTGCAATCTCGATTTTTTGTCATTTATATTCGTGCTGTTTTCGATTTCTTGTCATTTACAATTAATGCAAACTTGGGGTTTTCGCACTTTACATTTCCTCGCAATTTAATATTCCATTTCTCGATTCGATACTTTTACTGATTTCGGTATTTTAAATATAAAATACTAAAAAATAGCATTTTTATTCTGTGACTTTCGATTCTCATACACGTTTTCGATTGAAAGTCGATCGCTAGCCTAGGTAAAAAGAACTTACGTAAGAGGATTTTGATTAGGACCAAATCACCTTTAGAATCGAAATCGATCAAAATTCCACTAGAAACAATTATATTTACAAATTCCTCAATTTGAAACAAATAATTAAATCTTATAAAATTAATTCTTTTTATATTGCACACATAAAAATTAATTAAAATATGGAAAATAAATAAATCCATAAATGTCTAAAATGAGTTGTAAAAGTAAACTAAAATGATTTAAAAATAAAAGAAATAATACAATTGAAAAAAAGAGCTGGTCATACACAGTGTGGAAGCCCATAAAGAGTAACCATTAAAGTACAGTTTTACCCTTTTTTATTCACCAAATTCCGATAATACCATTGATAAACGGAGAAATGTCAAATCGAAACCTCCCAATTCCTAATTCTTACATCTTTCGTCTCAAGCCAGAATTCATTCGATTCTTGTGTTCCTTTCATTCCTCAACAAACACGAGTCCTGGGTAATGTTATTAGAGAGAAACAAAAATCAATAGAAGCCAAAAGAAGTGCCACTCTTCTTCCACCGCCTAAAGGATTAATCTTTCATTCTCTAAATGTGAGACCCATTTGAATAAATCTTCAAATAAAGAAAAAAGGGGGTTGCGAATTTCCATGATCAATAAATAGCGGTTGTTGTCCGGAAGGGAAGCGTTGTTGTTTGGATATGCTCAAGTTGTGGAAATGGTACCAGAATTGCTTGGCGGTTCACCCTGTTAAGACACAGGTCATCAGCTCTGGCTTGATTTGGGGTGTTGGTGACGTAGCTGCTCAGGCAGTTACCCACTACACTGCCAAGACCCATGACACAATGGATGAGGTATTATGTTGTTGGAATTTCTATTGTTTCCTTCAAAGATTTTTTTTATTTTTTGGAAAAATGGTTGTGTGTCTGTGTGTGTTTTGCTTGGTTTTGGGGGAATGATCATGGTTTGGAGTGTGGCCTTGTGGACTATATGATTAAAAGGATTTGAGATTGCATGAGCATGTTTGTGACAATGGGTGGATGCCTGAACGAACGAGGGAAGGAAGGGTTTTGTGGTTTCTTTGGGAAGGATTTTCCCTTAGCATGTGATCTTGTTCTCTAGTTCAGGAAATTGAGTGTTTGTTTTGTGGTTTTTTGTGTCGGTTAGTTTTGAAGGGCTGTTATGTGGGTTTTGGTTGTATTTTGGAATGAACTTTTGTGTAGCATGCACATTGACTATAAATTGCTGCCAAAGCTGGGTGTTTCTGAGAGAGAAGAGAGAATGGAAAGTTGGTTTTAAATTGTGGTTGAGGTTGTGTTGTGATTACAGATATTATGGAAAATTGTGGGTAAATGTAGTGACAATTGTGGATGCGAGTTCTATTGGATACTCTTGGGAATGGGTAATTATGGAATAGGAATATATGTGTGAGTTATTAATTTGGTTGTTTAAGGTAAGGAGGGAACTCTGGTGGGAAGACGAGGCATTTTCTTCTTCACTCCCCAAGCTGAAGGGACTAAAATTTGGTGTTGTGAATTCAAGAGGTGTCTTGGAGTCATTACATTCCTTTTGGCAAACAACCTCAAACACACATTTTATACATTTTGTTCATTCCTTGTCACTCCATTGTTTCTATTTTCCATCCGTCAATTGAAAAACATACCTTTTTGTTTTGCACTTGAACCATAGAAAGATGGGTAGGTAAAAGGAAACTATGTGAATGCTGGATGAAATATTTTTCTATTTTAAAATCACATGGAAACATCTGGTTTGTTTGATATCTGCACCTGGGAAATTTCACTTCTTTTGTCTAAAATAATGAAACAGGCGAATACTTGTCATGGTCACTGTTTTCCGATTGGGTGAATCTAAAAATGACATGCATTTTAGAGTTTTGTATTGGAAGTGTTGTGGGTAAACCATATGTATAACTTGGTTCTTTCCTTCTGACTTTGGTATACGTGGTACCAATTTAAGGACAGATATTTTCCTGGTAAATCATAGTGTATGATGTGATACTTTATTCTTTGTACACAACCATGTAATTAGCTTATTTCTATTGTTTAATGGCAATTTTTCACAGGATGACAATAAAGAATTAAAGATCAACTGGAAACGGGTGTCTACGACCAGCTTGTTTGGGTTAGGATTTGTTGGCCCTGTTGGCCACTACTGGTAAAAAACGTGACCTTTTTATAACCCAGTTGTTTATTGATACTGGTATTGCGCAAGGGTTTCTTTGCTGATTCTCAGATCCAGAATCAGCTTAGTTTACTGGAGAGATTTGAAAGTTCTTTTAGTTGCTCAAAAAATACAGTTTTCAATTTTGTTCCTTTTAATATTAAATATATTTTTATCCAAAGAAGTCAGCATAACGCTTGTGCGGTCTCATTAGTAGAAGTTATGTAGTGCACATGAGGCAGCATTTGGATGCTACAGTTGTGGCTGACTGTCATATCAACTGATGATGGTTACTCTTGTTGCAAATCTATTTAAACACTTATTGACTAGCAACCATTTTTTTTTATCATATAGATTTTAACCATGTACTTTACATAAAATTTTTGTTATTGATGGATTGATGAGTCTATAGCAACTTCCTGTTAAAGTAGGAATAAAGTGGTATTTCCTTCTAATCTTCTTAGGGCCAAGAGCTCTGTTTTGGGATCTGGATGCATGAGATCTCCAACTGACGAAAAAGAATGGATTCAAACTTTGTGTATTTTGTGTAGCATTTTGTCTTATCAGTAGCACGTTGTAGTGGTATGACCTTCTCATCAGCTATGGGCTTTGATCTTTAAGGGGAAGAATTCCTAAGTCATACAAAAAACAAGTTCCATCATATTTCTAGCTGATGTGGAGCATCCAAGACTGCTTGATTTTAGAAAATGTTTCTTTTGTTTTTGCTAGCACTAATGAAAATGTCACCTTGTTTTCACTTTTTTTTTTTTCTGCTTTGAAAAGTATGTGCAGGAACAAAGTGAAAACGAGAAAGAAAGTGAAAATAAGTTGTCATTTTGTAATTGAAGAGTGAGAACGGAAAACATTTTCTCAGACCAAATGATTCCTAAACATTTGAAAACAGGAAAACAAATGAAAACTGTCATATTTTTGTAATTCGAAGCAAACATAGAAAATGAAAACAATAAATTCCCAAGCCAAACGGTGCCTTAGCAGTGTTAAATCATGAAAGGAAAGACTTGTACATGTGAGCTTTTGTATATCTGCCAGTACTTTATTTGTCCATATGGGGAAAGAGGGGCACTGGCAAATGCTTATCTATTTTCTAGTAAACTTATCTATTCTCCTTGTTCTTTTGCATTAATTATTGTAGGTACGAAGGTTTGGATCGGTTTATAAGATTGAAACTCATGCTTAGACCGAATTCCTTCCGGTTTGTTGCCACAAAAGTTGCTGTTGATGGGTTTATCTTTGGACCATTGGATTTACTGGTGTTTTTTACCTTCATGGGCTTTTCTGCTGGAAAGAGTGTTCCTCAAATAAAAGAAGATGTGAAGAGAGATTTCCTCCCAGCCTTTGTTTTAGAAGGGGGCATATGGCCAATTGTTCAGGTTGCAAATTTCAGGTTTATACCTGTGAGGTATCAACTCCTTTATGTTAACTTCTTCTGCTTGTTGGATAGCTGTTTCTTGTCTTGGGTTGAGCAACAACAGGATGCACCTTGGAAACAATGGTTGAAATCATTTCTACCTTTGAAGTAACAGAGTTTGCATTCAGAATCTCTCTCTCGGAGTTGCCAGTTAGTTGTTCGAAGTTCATGTTGGAAAATAGTGACTAGTTCAGATTGTTTGTAAACCCTCTAGACTTTCAGAATTGAATTTCTGGAAGTGATGAAATTGCTTTCACATGATTTATATGATTAATGATTTTCATCTTGAATACAAATTGATACCTTTTTTCCATTGAATAAATTGAAGGCAACGTTGCTTCTCACTGTCAAGTCTTTGTTCATTTGTCTATTACTAGTTGTGCTTATCTCTCACTTCATATTTTTTAGGAAAGGAAAAATTTGTTTTATTCTCTAATTGTCAATTGGAGAATAATCCTTGTGCAGACAATAAATTTGGGCCTCTTCTTTTTCGGTTGGGTGTAAGTCTGAGAAAAGTTATTTTTAAACAGTTTTTCTTTTTTTCTGACAAAATTTAGATGTAGGTCTTATAAGTATTTTTTATGCTACTTTTTAATTAGAGTTGAAGTTTTATCTCAATAATATCTTTAACAAATAAAGGTTAACATGGATTATTAAGTTAAAATTCTGAACCTGATTAGATAATAGCACAGAAAATACTACAAGTTCGAAAATAATTACTTTTCAAAGGTTTTACAAATTTTTCCATGATGGCAAATAATAATGAATAAAAAGTTAAATTATTCACATTGAGCAATGGGAAATATCATGTCATAAACGAATTTGTGTAAGAAAATATTGATGCATAAATATATAGTAATATTTATGCATTATTTCTCTGTAGGACGACAATGAGATTTTAATGGTGTAAATGATTATGTGAATGAAGGTACAAAAACACATTATGTTTTTTTCTTTCAAAACTGAGGTAGAATGGGGAATAAAATAACTAGAACTATTTCACATTTCATTTGGATTTTCTATAATTAAGTCCCCCACCAAGCAATAGATCTCCATTACTAAGCTTGAAAATAAGGGAAATAAAAGAAAACACCGCTTTTTTTGTTTACTCTTTTCTTTTCCATTTCTTTCCTTTCTAGCCATTCTTAATTTTTGTGTTTTCATTTCACTTATGAGAACCATCGCAACACAATGCTAGGCGTGAAAATTTATTTTCATATTGTTTCCTATATGCTTTTCCATGACTCTCATGGGGCCAATTAACTGAACCAATACTGAAATGAATAAAAAAATGTTTGACAAATGAAAAATATACAAGCCACTGTCATCCAAGTTGGTTGGGTATAATAAGGTTACATTCGGTTATGGGGAATTAAGGGATAAATGATATTGGGGAGGAAGAAAGGTGGGTTGGAGTAAAATTTTAATTTTAATTTTCTAATGATGCAATTTAACAAAGTTGAATTATTGTATTTTTGGATTCCAATTAAAGGTAGTTTTACTCTCAATGACACAATCTCTTTCTTCCTCATTGTGTTGTCAAATTTGAAATATGTTCTGGAATTTAGCTTTGCATATGAACCTCAAGTTTCCGTGTCATGATGCAGAAGCTTCAACTGGTAGAGTCACATTCAATGCCTTGTTTCTTCTTCCTCGCCTAAGATGGTTTTCCAAACACCCACATATACCATCATGCTAATCCAGCTGATTTCAGGTCTTTAATCACACTATCTACTTTTTCAACCAAGTGTGCTCTTTTATAGCCAGATATCAATAAGTCATAAGTTGATTTCTTGAGCACATAGCTACTCTTTATACATTCCAAGAATATGTCTAGTCTATCATAAGCTTCCCTTCTAAAGTATGAACAGATGACCTTTTCAACATCATCTGCATTTGTGAATGACAGCCCCTGTTTAAGCATTCTACCCACAGAAAACTCTACATCATCCAATCTATCTAACATGGCATACATCTTCACAATCCCACAATGAATTCGGGTAAGAACACCAGTAGTAATTACACAGGGTTTTGTTAAAGTTTCAAGTAGGGCTTCCATCTCTTCAACTTTCCCTTGTTGATGATACAATGCTACTAACTTATCAGCCATGTTCTCGTTTATTTCCCATCCCGAATCTATCATAAACTTGAAAAACTCCTCGGCTCGATCCAATCTCTTCTGCTTGCAAATCCCATTAAGCATACTGTCCAGTAAGGGTGCACTAGGTACAATTCCAGAAGTCATCATTTGCTCAAAAATTGTATCGGCAATCTCAAATTTTCTAGAATTAACACAACCAGATATAAGGGATTCAAACATTTGAAGATCAGGACCAAATCCAGCAGATTTTTTTGCCGAGTACCAAGCTAACATGGCTTCAACATTCCCTGACTTGGAAAATGCTGAAATAAAGATATTATAAGTATGAAAATCAGGTTTATAGCTCTCTGAACTCTCCATGATCTCAAATAAACTAACTCCTGTGGTAACATTATATGAAGACAAACAAACACTTATAAGGGAATTGAAAACCAGGGAATTGGGTTTAACTCCAGTAGCCTCCATAGAACTAAACACGCGCATTCCTAGCGGTACGTCCTTCACCTTTCCACATAGAAAGATGAGTTTGGAGAACAGATCACGGTCTTTTGCATTTTCTTTCAGCATCTTCTCCAAAATCCATTCCAAAACCTGCCCATTCAAACGTTACAAGTGAGAATATTGATCATGACAGTCTATATAGTCAATCCACCACGCATAATTGGTCAGATAATTGACAAACCTGAAACCACATTACACAAAAGCACGGGCGTGGAAGAATTGGTAACATATATCTGGTTTTTCGTAAAGTATTTTAACCAGCTATACCTTGAGCATACTTCAAAGAAATCGTAGTAAAACCTTGTTAAGCACTTCATTTAGAAACCAAGTGAGAATAAATTTACAAATTCCTATCGGACTTGCTAATTAGAAGCCACTTTTAGCAAGCTATACACTTGGTATAGTAAAAACAAAGTTATAACTTGTCAAAATACTTTTCTAAAAAAATGGATATACCTTATCAAATGCTTGCATAAAATTCATCTCAAAATTTCTTATGCCCACCAATTTGCCATTTGGTAATCTGTGGATCATCGACTCCTGAATTATAAATTAGCATACACAGTTCGAAAATAGAGACTCCCATTATATTCTCTTTTCTCTACTTCAAATATGGATTTCAGTATCACAACTAGTAAAACAAATCTCCCTCAATCTCTCAAACTACCCTGTTTTTGTCTTTATCTACGTATACTTACTTTCTTCACCATTTATCATTTTCAATCTTCTATTTTTTTCTTATCAATAAGTAAAAAGAGTCTTATATAACAATTTCAACTATGTAAGTTATATATTAAAAAGTATTTATGTATTATGAATTTAATAATATCAGAGAACAATTTCAATCGTCCAATGCAAATTCAAAGTATCATTTATATATCAAAAAATATAAATTTATTACGAAATTTCAATAATCTTATATTACAATTTCAATTGTTTAATGTAGATTCAAAGTATAATTTATATATTCAAAAAGTATTTTTATTATAAATTTGAATTTTAATTATAAACAAAATAAACACTTGTGTTGTGAAATGCAACTATTAATAATAAAAGAAAAAAGGTAGATATATTTACAATGTTAACCCTATTTGCTAAAAAAATGATGAAACGGAAAACAGAGATAGAAGATTAGAACTAGTACCAATCGCGCTTTGTTTGAAGAAGAAGGGGAGAGAGAGGTAACAAGAAAGTCCCAGGAAATGTGTGAGCTTTGAAGAGAAGGCATTTCCTGATCCAGTGTCCGTTTGATGCGTGAGGTGGGTACCTGAAGCAATTTGAGGAGAAGGGGATTTGAATCTGAATTTGAATTTGAATGTGCATGTTTGCAGAAAAATGATGGGTGAGGATTTGGGAAGAAGTGAGGAATTCGTCTGCAACTCTTTCTCACTGCCCATAAAGCCCTAATTGCAAACGCCATGTTTTCGTTTCATTTCAGTTGAGTTGCTATTAGGAACGTACTTAGCCATTTTGTGGGGTTATTTTCACATGTTTATATTTATATTGCTTAATTAAATATTTCATATATAATTATCTTCAATATTTTTATTTCTAGCATGAATAAAAAGAATACATGTGTTTACGTAAAAAAAAAATGAAATTCAAACAATGGAGATTATTTTGCAAGACATATAATATTAATATTTACCATGGAATATTTATTTTGTTTTGAAAAACACAAGACTTTTAATAATGATTTTAACGTTAAATAATATTAAAGTTGGTTTATTTGTTATTTTAAATTGAAGTGACAGACATTAATTTTATTTGGAGTCACTATTCACTCTCTAATTTTTTTATTATATAATATATAAATATCGGTAATCAAAAGTAGTATTTTTGTTTGTGTATCTTAGCAAGATCTTATTAAAAATGGGTTTCACTAAAACCGCAATAAGTGAGAGGTGGAAATAGGAAAATGGGAATTGCCAATAGTATGTTAAAACCCAAACAAGAGCACTCTATAAAGAGACTCTTCTTCAAGCACCCCATAATTTCTTTCTACATACCATAGTTGATATAAAATGATCAAAATATTTTTATATTAATTTTTATTTAAAACCTTAAGATGCATTTTCACTCTTACCTCATGCTCCTTTGCACCTCCATATATTTTGCATATTCATTTTGCTATCCCTTCATTTAAGGTTATAAATATTTTAGATTATTTATGTTTTGGACCCTATTACATTATATTCGTCTCAATTTGTATGAAAATTATATTTAAACTACACAAAAAGATATGAACTAGTAAATCTAAAACATATTTCAAGAACTCATTTTTGGATTGGATATTCGAGATTCAACGTGCGGATTCTATATACAGTTTCAGTTCTATTTTCATGTAGATTAGGACGAATATGGAGAAGGGATATAGAAATGCAGAGGAGCGCAACACAAGAGTTAAGAAACCTTTTAAAATTTCAAACAAAAATGAATATAAAAGATATTTTGATAATTTTATATGAATTATGGGGTACAAGAAGAAATTATACAAGTAAAGAAAAGAAACAACATTTAAAGACCAAACAAGTTGTTGATGGGTATAAATAAGGTTAGCCCAGTGTAAATCCGACCAGCACATGTTTTCCATTCAATAGGAGGATCGTTGTTATTATTTTTTATTAGAGAAAGTTAGGACATTGATTAAGAAAGTAATATAAAAAGCACTTATTATTATATTAGACATATGAAATTTGTTTAATACTTTACATAAAGTAATACCAAATAATGTTTAACTCATGTGTTAGAGTAATGATGAATCAAACTCTATTTTTACTTTAATTTATCCTATCCCGTTCCATTGTTGACTAGCTAGCGCATTATCCACAATATTGATCACAATTCACATGGAAGCAAGCAAATAGCATGGTGTGTATCTTCCCAAACCATGGTTTTATTTTGTCCCACTAAAATGTCTTTGATTAGTGTTTTAAGTTAAGGCCCTTTATGTAATCTTGGTGGGGGAGTGTCATCCACTAATTGATGCTAGTTTTTGTTCTCTTCAATCTTGGAGTTGATGTAAGCAAGTCAAATTATGTGGGTCATTAATGAAAGTCCATTTATGGGTTGGTTTTGGTTGACATTTGGCAAACCAGCAATGGTGGGGCGGTGATCAGCTTCAAATCCCTGTCACTTTTCCAAATATCTGCATACAACTTCACACAATTCAAGTACCATTAATCACCTTCCTTTCTTCTTCTTCTTCTTCTCCAAACCCCTTTTCATTTGTTCCTTTGGATAAGAAAGCTCTTGCATTCTCTCTTTTGTTTATGGTATAATAATTAACTCATCAACTATATTTTCTACATGTCTCATTTCCCCCTTGTCATAATCATTCAAGTTATCCTAATATGTTTCCATACATCAAATTTATATCCAATCAAAAAGAATGTCAAGAGAAATTTAAAAATTAAAAAGAAAAATTAACAAAAAACTAATGCATGACTCTCTTTTTTTCTAAATATTTTTTATTAAACTTTGTCAAAAAATTATTCTTTTCTATTTAAATATATCTTAAATCTTATACAATTAGTTTATAATTTCCTCATCTATGCTTCAAAATTTTACATATGAATATCTTCCTAAAGTGTAAACCTTTCTCACTACAAAAAAACGCTTATTATCTACAGGTAAAATCCGTAGGTAATGCACTCACCTAAACAAAATATTTTTATTTACTACAACCCCCTCCCCTTTTAAAGGAACTTTGAATTATTATTAAATTAAAGGAATTGTCATTGGTAATATTCGAACCCAGTATCTCAAGGTTGGAGACCGATACTCCAACCACTAAGCTATTAGGATATTTTGATAATAACTTATAAATAAATTATATTTATATTTATCCAGTGTAAATATATAAATATAAAATATATAAATATATCAAAATATAAATATATCAAAATATAAATATATTTTGATATATATTTATATAAATATATTTATTTTATATTTACATATTTTATATTTATATATTTATATTTATATTTATATTTATATTTATATTTATATTTATATTTATATTTATATTTATATTTATATTTATATTTATATTTATATTTATATTTATATTTATATAATTATATTTATATTTATATTTATATATTTATATTTATATTTATATATTTATATTTATATATTTATATTTAAATATTTATATTTATATATTTATATTTATATATTTATATTTATATTTATATATTTATATTTATATATTTTTATATTTATATATTTATGTATTTATATATTTATGTATTTATATATTTATGTATTTATATATTTATGTATTTATGTATTTATGTATTTATATATTTATATTTATATATTTACACGAATAAATATAAGTATAATTTATTTGTAAATTATTATTAGAATATCCTAATAGTTTAGTAGTTGGAGTATTAGTTTTCAACTTTTAAGGTACTTGGGTTTGATTCTTGCTAGTAACAATTCTTTTAGGAATTTAATATAATTTACCTACGGATAGTAATTTCGTAGGTAATTACCCACGGATGACATTACCTACGGATTTTTATCCGTGGGTAATATTCGTAGGTAATGTAAAATTTACCTACGGATTTTTATCCGTAGATAATATTTTATAGATAATAGGTTTTTTTTGTTTTTTTAGTGTCTCAAGAGAAATAAACATTTACCCTAGTACGATGAATTTTTGTAATTGGGTTTTGGGCCCAATGGAAACATACTAACGAACCAAATCAGGAGCTTCCCATTCTCCAAAGAAATCAAGTTTTGAGAAATTTTTTCATAAATACTTTTAGAAGAGTAAAAAAAAAAAAAAGTTTTTTCACAAATTCACATCAACTGAACTTCAATACTATATTTTAGACAGATTCTTACATTTAAGTCAGTGTTTATAAATACAAGTTAAAAAATAAAGAAAAAAAATGTTTTTCAGAAAAAAAGACTGCAAAAAAAGATGGAACTAACACAGTTTTTCTGAGCTCATGTCAGTTCCACAGGATTTTGTTTCAGAAAAGTTGTATGGTTAGAAAATGTGTATCCAAGTTTTTCATCACATTACTATCTAACTCAAGCAATTGACATGTAGAATTAATGTGTCTATGAATGGAAAGGATCTGAAAAAGCAAGGTAGCTGCATACATTGCATGCTTCCATTATATATTTCTTTCTGAGAGGGAAGATGATGAGTTTAGCTTTATTGGATGCAACATGTAGTTTTTGTGCGAGATTAGGGTTAAAGTATTAAAAGTGATTGGTTAATTTACAATTATTATCCAAACAGTGTTGAGGGAAAAAGGATTGTTTGAAATGATCTTAATGGTTGCCAAACTTAGAAATATTGATATTCTGAGCAAGAATATATGAATGACAGTATGAAACAGCAGTTAAATATTACATCATGAATTGAATATCGAAAATGGTTTATTATGTGATCTAATGGCATAAAGAGTTAGGAGAATTGATGCTTTAAATAATGAAAAAGTTATATTCCCCACGCCTGTCTAATCAAGAGGTTATATTTTAGCATTATGAATTGAAACAGCAGAAAATCAAAAGGTTGATGAGAGCAGTGGAGACACTGACCCACCTTGATTCTGTCTAATATATGCATGAAAGTTGCTCCATAAAGACAAGTGGCGGCAATGATTTTGCTCAAAGTCACATCCATTGGTAATTAACCATCACTTGTGGGATGCTCTCACTGCTTTCAAGAGATTTCCTTTGTCTTAATTTTTAGTTTCTCACTTTTCTGAATTCTGTTTTTTTCTTAACTCAACACGAAAATGGGTTTTGTTCATATCAAAATGTCTTTATCATCAAGATACATCATGTGTGCACAATGATACCTAACCTCACGGAATATATAAAGAGTTTTCTTTGAAAAGTGTTTAAAAAGTTCTCATTTAAACTTATTAATTAATGGGGGGCTTCAATCATCGGATGAAGGAATCATGATGGTAAACGTGTATGTGGGAGAGGAAAATAATTAAAGACTCAATTTAGTTTGACTTAATTTTTTCTCTTTTACATCTTCTTGGTTTTAAAATTTTCATTCTGTAAATTTTTCAATATTTGTAATTTAACTAATTCATCTTTTTATCTAATTTTGATCTTTTAATTATGTAGAAAAGTTATGAGTGTAATGTATTATTCTCAATCTTATGGATAATTAAACTAAAAAAATGAATAGAGTTATAAATAATTTAAAATCAAGAGATTAAAATTAGGTAAAAAAAATTATGCACCAAAATTATAGATAATTAAAATTATATAACTAAAATTATGGAAAAAAAATTAAAAGCAAAAATTACAATTTCATATGTAAAATAGTTAACAAGCCACTTTATAAAATATATTTATTTATAAATGCTAGCTTATCTTATAAACGCTTATGTAAAACTTGTTTCTATAATTGAAAAGAGGATAGGATAG